TGCAGAGAATGACAACACTCGCTGATGATGTCGGCGAAACGTTCGAGAATGCACCAAGTACAATGTCTGATGATGGGAATTCCGATAACTACTATGGCAGAGGACTTCGGACTTGGTGCGTTCTACTAAGTCTCCCCGACAACAAGACTAAGTTGCGACAACGAGTTTAGCCCATTTCTAAGAATACAAACCCTAGTTTTGTGGTAACCGTTAGACAAATAATTTATAATGAAATAAAAATTACACGTTTTTACTATTCCATCATTTACTAACATAGGACAAAGTCTGAACAGGTTGCATGAAGCAGTGAATTCATATGCAAAAGCAAACCCTCATAATTCATCGTGGCCAAACTGGTTGACACTAGAATCTGATGCCACGCTAATTTGGTGCATATTGACAGCTTAACGAAGATTAGGACCTCCTTTTAAAGGACTTTCCCCTTTCAAACTGGAAACAAGCTGGTCCTTTTGCTCCCTCATGAAGCTGCCCATCAAAAGTGCACACCGAGATTTTTTGCGCACTTTTTTATTCATCAGTCATTAATATTACTGATGCGGCCATAAACAGTATGCGTTCTAGTATCCTGTTTAAGAACTTTACCCATTCTCCACTCACTTTCTTCGTTAGTGATGCGTACTTGCATTTGCTTATAAAGTCTAGTTCTAAGGCCATCTTCCAAATATGGCATCCTCCAGATAGTTTAATATCTCTCCTGCTAAACTCTTTCTCTTCACTGCCATCACTGATTAATCCTCTCCAATTCATCACGGTTCTATCTTCATGTTGTGACACTTTAAAAGTCATATACCTGGCCAGCCTTACTGACTTGGTGTTAACTCGAGGTTACTATAAGATTACTGTTCTTCTCTGCCAAGATCTATAACATAAAAGATGCAAGCTAAACACTTTTTGCACAGAAACTAATCAAGTGACGACGCCCGAGAAGCGTTTTAGCACCAAAATCCCAGCTAGGCCGAGCTACTTTAGACCACGAGTTATATGGTAAGATCATTCCATACAAGACGAAAATCAGGAGAGTCACCATACTCCGGGCCTTCTTAGTAGGAAATAAAGTCAGCTGTTTATACCGTTTGTACATTAAATTTACACGAGATAACTTGATTAATCAGTTTGCGTAGGTGGGTGAGTGAGTGAGTTATTCTATTAGTACCTATTTTTTTAGGCGCATTTAAACCTCGTTAACTACTTTACCAAGGGCGACTCAAAATGATGAAAAGGGAGGGTCCGCTATCTATGACCAGATCCTACCAGTCCAATGTCCATAAAGTTGCTCTTTAAGAGCAAATTTTTATCAGAATCCTTTAGTTTCTCCAGCCGACTTGGCTTTTGTTATGAAGACAACGACGTTTATGCATTTTCAACAGCTTCATCTATTCTTAGTATTATGAATATTTGCATGCTTATTTCTTTCTCATTAAATTTGAACCAAGATGGTCTAGAAGATATTACGTGTAAAGGGAAACGATGTTTTGATAACCTTCCATAATAGTTCATCCTAATAAGTTGAATGACTCCTGAATGTCATGGCACACATATATTGACTTGAACTCTTCATTTTCTGATCACTTTTACAAGACTCCTTCATATTATTTGTATTTTCTCTATTCTTTCTTAATGTAGTAGCCTTTCGACAATAGGCTCAATTGCCTGCCTAGTTAACGTAGAGCCGGATTATGAACAGAGCGAAAAAAGTAAACAGAGAATGCTTTGAATTAACTCACTTAATCGGGATTCTAATCTCTATTTTTTCAGAGCCGTCTATTTTGTATTTGTTTCTTCCTCCATATTTCTTGTCAATAGCTTTCGTTCCAGAGCGGCTTTCCGATGTTATCACTGCCGATCCCTCTTCGCTGACTTTCGTTACAAATCCCAACTTGCCGGCTAGTTCCATACCTCACTTTTCTGAAAAGCCGGCTTTAGATCGGCAGAATAAACTAGAGGCCTCAGACTTTCTAGGAGAGTTCCTCAAGCCATGCTCAGCTTCGTTTATTAGCCCAGAAAACTCTCGACACGGATCCAAATCTGCAACGACTTTGGAGCATGAGGAAGAAGAGGATGAAGAAGAGAGCGAAGAGGGGGACGAAGATGAGGACGAAGACGAGAATGAAATTGACGAGGAAGAAGAGAGG